GCTGCCCAGCAGCCTGGGGTTGTCCCTGAAGACTTCTGGTTCTGGAGCAGTAGAGGGCAGGATTTGATGTGCCCTCACTTGAAAATCCTGGAAGGAAGACGTAACACGGGCGTGTTGCTAATGTGTGTCATATAGTGTTTATATGTGGTAACTTCTCTTAGGCACAGAGGCAGCTCTCCTAGCGCCACGTGTAACAGCTTCCCATTTGCAAATCCCACTTCCTGGTGGCCCAGCCCATGCAGTTTGCCCAGGCCTCCCTGGGTTGAGGTCCCGAGGGCTCCAGCCTGCTCCACGCACTGCGCACTGCAGAGGCACAGGACCTTCCAGGATTCCCTGGGAAGCCTGCTTTGGGTGACACGGTGTGGGACAGGCTCTGCCCCGCCCTTTTCCCCAGCCCGAGAGGCCAAGAGCCTGGAAGTTCAGGATCAAGGGAACAGGTGTCTAGGAAGCAGCCCCAGGTCTACCACCTGAGCCTGGAGTGCAAGGGGCTGCAGGCCACGAGCTGCTCCCCTCCCTCCCAGGGTTTTCTCGACTTCCCTGGGAGGGCAGCCTGGCTCACATCGGCCCACGAATGAGGTGCTTCATGCTGCATTTCCTTACATGGTGGTTCCCGTGTGGTGTTTGTTAGCCACAGCTCATTACTAAATCTGTGGCCGAGGCAGTGGACTTTGTTGCCTGGGGTCTTCTGCCCCTGCGCCCCCTTGCTGCAGGACAAAACCCACTGTGGGGCTGTGAAGGTGGGCTGTGCACATGTTCTCCAGGTCCCCTGGTGGGTTCCCGGCTGGGTTTCCTGGTTCAGGTTGAGACTGAAGCTGGAGGCGCCATCTTCAAGACACTGACACTCCAGCTAGCAGGGCAGTGGAGCGCCTCACCCACCAGAGCGGCTCACCAGACAGAAGGACAAAGTGCGGGGACTTTTAAGATCAGATCTGGCCAGTGAGTGCATCCACCCCGGTCACAGCTCAGAGAGGAAACTGGCCAGGAAGGGGCTGCTCGTCCCTGAGGTCCAAGAGAGCTGGTGAGCTGGGGCTGGAGTGAGAATTAATACCTGTGTCTCTGGCTCCTCCATGCCCCGAGGCTGAGGTAATTCTGAAATTCTCCACTGGGCTGCTTTTCCCCTTGGTTGGCCGCTGTCTTTTGGGAAATCCTCACCTGGGGGATACAGAAAGGCCCTACGACACTCTGCATTTCCTCCGGCCACCTCGGTCGGTTGCACAGTCCTGTGGCACTTGCTGGGCAGCTCCATTGTTCAGCCTGAGACTGTGGGGCAGCCCTGCTCTCCCTGTGTGTGACACCCAGAGAAATGGGCACTTCAAAGGCTTCTGTGAGCATCGAGCTTTCCAAGGATGCAGACTTGGAGCAGGGTACAAATCCTGACTCCTTACCAGTCCTGGAAGTATGGACAAGTTCCAGGTCTCACCGATGTTAGGTTTTCCTTCACATCTAGAATGATTGTCCATCAGGGCCACTGAGGAATGAAGTTCAGTCATCTGTGTGAAAGCTCCGAAAAGCTACCTGGACTGGATCAGCGTTCCTTACCCATGCCTGCTCCAAAAACAGCACGTTTGAGTTGGAACAAAACTCATAAAAGACATTTTACAATTTCATCCTTGACTTGAAAGCTTCTGGATTTTGTCACGACCAAATGAAATCTATAGACAGTGTTTGTCTTAATCTTTTACTGAGCACTTGTAAAACCAAGCATTTCCTGGGGGAATGTGGCCTGGACTTCTAAGAGAGGGAAAATTGGAAAGATTGAAAAGATCAAGCCTTGTTTCTCCCTCTGGCAGACTCTGGGGTGCCTGCTCCACGTGGGGGATTCAGTCCCTGCTTTATTTGCCTTTTAAACAAGAGCTATAGGCTCAGAAGCTTGTTTTCAGAGTTTAGGAAAACAGATGTTTTTGCTTATTTTCTCTCTGTCTCTCTTGCCAAAATGCTCCCTGAGTTTTTCTTGGGCTCTGAAGTTGTTTTTCTGTTGTTTTGTTTTAACTTTGAAGCCCAGCCTTGGCACAGGGTCATTGTGAATGGGGGATGGGTAGAACCCCAAATGGGGAAAGCTCTGTTTTAGAGCCTGTATCTGGGAACCCGAAGGCAGGAAGTACTAGAAGACAGTGAAGAGAGAGCGAGGCCCCAATTCTCCCTCCCCTCTCCCAGGCCTGCGGCGCCGGGGTCCCTGGCAGGGGGGTTACCAAGCACCTGCTTTCCGATGGGTCCCCAGGCTTGTGGTGCTGAGCCAGGTAGTGGGCCATATCCATACCGCCTGCCCAGCCCCTGAGCAGACACGGCAGGTGCCGGATTGACTTCTGCTTGTGTTGGCCTCTGCGTGCTGCCCAAATGCCTGGGCTCCCGGTCCAATCCCTCCATCTCCAAAGATGACAGCAGGTTGGATCTCTCTCATCTCCTCTCCTTCCTCCGTCTTCCATTCTGAGGGACCCGAATGGGGCACATTGGGTCCACCTGAGTGATCCTGCGTCATCTTCCTGCTGAACTCCATCTTCACTTGACATGAGTTCACCTTCGCTGTGTAAGTGAATAAAGGTGCAAGTTCTAGGGATCCATATGGACCTTTCTGACAGTCACGGGAGCACACAGGTCATGTTTATGCTACATAGAATAAGTGCATGTAGCAGGACTCTTCTGAGGGCAAGAAACAGGACTTCACAAAGCTGCTAAAGAGGAGAGGATTTAATTGCTGCACTCACACGTCTGACAGGCCATCCAAGCCCTTGTTTTTTGCCTGGATCTCTGCGGTGCTCTGGTTCTCAGCAGGATGGCCGCATGCTGGCTAAGGTGGCCCCAGCGGTTCCAGAACTCATGGTCCCAGAGAGGAATCCAGGACCCTTTTCTAGGCAGCACCTGCAGAATCCTGAGGGTGACTCTCACTGGCCCAGGGTCCCTGTGTGGGTCACTGGGGAGCGAGATGCAGGACCTGCTCCATCCTCAGCATAGTGGAGACAGCCTTACACCGGAGCTGTTCAGGTTCTGTCACCAAAAGGAGGAGGGAGGGAGGGTCCCGGTGTGCAGACGTAGCCACTGTCCCCTTCACCATGAAACTGCTAGATTTCAGAGCCTTGGAGCAGTGGGTTATTCGGCTCTGAGCCACACGTCACCTAGGGCGAGCATAAGAGAATTCAGGAAGTCTACGAGAGGTAGAATGGCACAATGGCTGCATTGGTCTGTCCCTAGATGACCCACAAGGCCACATGCACTTCCGGTGGAGCTTTGGGAGATGCTGGATGAGGGGTGGACCAGTTCGCTGACAGTGAGATCCCAGCGTTCTGCGGGGGCAGGGTCTGGTGGGGAGAGGTGGTCATTGGGCGTAGCCTGCAGGGCTCTGTCTCCCTTCCTGCCCACCCTTCACCCCCCCTGCTTCCTGTCCGCCATGCTGTCTTGTTTCTGCCTTGGAGCCCTCTGACCATGGACTAGAACCACGAACCAAAATAAATCTGTTCTCCTTTGGGCTGTGGGTGTCTGATATTGTGTCCCAGAGATGAGAAAGTGAACAGTGGTCCAGAGCATGGTTTGAGAAACCCAACAGCCTGGGTTTATGTCAGGATATTAGTGCTATTTACGGGGCCTCCTGTGCCTTGGTTTTTTCATCTGTAAAATAGGGATAATGGTGCTCAGAGTTTTGTGGGGTGTAAATGTGCTAACACAAAACGCTTGGGCTGGGACCTTGATGGGGAAGACCCTCAGCTGGTAATAGCTCTCATCCTGACTGCTCTTACCTCATCATCACTGTCCCTGCTGTGAGCTCCAGGGGAAAGGCGTGACTTGGGGAGCCACTAGCAGGGAAGTCGTCGTACACTTCTTGGTTTCTCTTTCAGCCGGGGCCACGGTGTCTCTTCTGGAACTTCCCCTCCCCACCTCCGCAGAGGGAGGTGGGGCTGCCACCTGTGGTGTGGACCTGTCCGTGGCTGTCCACGGCCATCTCCACCTCCGTGCCCTGTCACCAAACCCTCCGTGCCCTCACTGTCTCCAGCTCATTGGTGGGGCTGACGGCTGTCTTTCCGTAGGAGCGCTCCCTTGTCCGTGAGCTGTGACTGGCAGGGATGGGGGAGGTGACTGAGAGGGAAGGTTGGGTTTAACCAGAATATTGATCAGCATGTCTTTTTAGGGTGTGCTCGTAAACTGGAATTCTCCTACAGAGCAAGAGTCAGTTTCAAAGAGTAGCGCTTTTGCCAAGGTATTTGGGGATAGGACAACACTAGGAAGTGCTTTGAACTAACCTGATTTAGCCTATGGTGTTTTTAGAGCAAAAAAGTCCTCTCCACAAATGGTGTATTCATAAGTGAGACCTTTCAGCTGCAACTAGGAGCACTCACCAGATTCCTTCACATGAAGCATCCATCGGGGGATCAGCCCTGGTGCGTCCGTTCCTGTGAAATCCTCATGTCACGTTGTCAGAGGACGGGTTCCGGTGGGGTGGGGTCTCCCCGGGCCTCCCTTTAGGTGGTGGAAGATGGCTCCTCCCTGCCTTCCATTCACCACGACCCTTTCTCCGGTCCAGGCCCCCGTATTGTTTTCTCGTCAGTCTCATCCCGGAATATTCAGAACTTCTCATTACAGAAAGATCCTGCCTCCAGCCCTCTGTCCTTTGCTTGAAGACTTAACTGTGACTCCCCTTTTCCAGTGAAGACGTTTCATAGTGATAGGAGGATCAGGACCTACACAGGATAAGGTCCTACTGAGGGAGGAGGGCAGTGAACTGCAGGAAGGCTGGAAACGCGTCGGTCAGGGCTGGGCATCTGGAAAGCACTGAGCTTTGGGGGAAACAAAGCAAGGAGGACATTTTGACAGAGGTCCACCGGGAACTTCCAAGGGAGAGGCTCCTGTACCCCTTTCTAGCGCACAGGCGCCACCCTTGCCTTCACGCTGTTGGTTTTGAACGGTTGGACAGAGCACCCTTCTGCCGGGCAGCAAAGAGAGGGGTGAGGCAGGAGTGGTCGGGGGCAGTGTGGGGCGCAGAACGGTGACCGCCTTGCCTTGTCTCCCCAAAGGACCCCGTGGTTTAACGGCTGGGGCTTTAACCTCCCGCGCGGCCAGTCCCTGCTGGACAAGTGGAACCTGGTTCCTGAGGGCGTGGACATCCTCATGACACATGGACCTCCCTTGGGTAAGTGACTCCCTCTGCACGCTTTTTCCCCCGGTGCCGCTTCTCCCGGGCACAATGGATAACGTGCCAGGGACGTAATAATTTCCCTCCAGCAACAAGAAAGTGGGTTCCAAAAGACAAGTCAGTGCCTTTAAAGAAAGCTGGTGTGATAATTACACTCAGCGGTTCTTCCAGGCTCACAGGTGTTCATGAAATTAAATTTTTTGATTTAGTCGAGTCAGGGAAAAATCACATGAGTTGGGAGCACCGCGGTCCTTTGGGCTTGGTGATTTATTTTGAGAACTAGATTCACTTCAGAGTGAGGGGCTGGGGCAAGAAAGAAGACTGGACCTCCAATCTCAAGGCTTCACATGGTGTTGAGAGGTTGGGAACTTTCCTTGTCCACATAATGCCGGAGCCTGGAGTAGGGGGTCTCTCAGGTTGAACGTTTGAGCTGATTACAGGAGAACAGAATCGTCCTCTGTGCAGTGAAGACTCAGGATGAGAGCTCCTTCAGAGACCCATACTACAGGCCCACGGGGGTGCATCTGGGTTCAGACTGCTGTGTGCTTCACGCCCACTCCTCCACCTCTAGTGGCGGGGAGATTGTTGTGACCCGCGGGGTCATCTTCCGATCATTCATGAGCTTGGTTCGGCTCAGCCACAGGACACTTTTCAGCCAGGCCCCAGCGCCTTGAGGTACCGATTGGGCCAGACTTTTGCTGCCAAGCTGAGATGCGCTCGGAAATTCATGTGTTCACTTGCAGTAGGAGGAAATTTTCTTTTTTATTGTGGAAAAAACAACCCCATGCCACAAAACTGCCCTCGTTGCACATGTCTAGGTACGCATGATCTCGGTTCTGGGAGTGGGCACTTGTTACGGAGAGACACAATTCGCAGTGTCTCTTGGCTTGAGGTCAGTACCGTGTGTCTGGCCTCCTCTCCCAGCCTGAAGACTGAATGCTCCTAGTGCTCACCCTGAGTGCCGTGCTGGGCGCGGAAGGCATTTGCTCCTCCAAGCCGCCTGGTGCCATGTTCCTTTCCCTACAAGGAAACTCTGAGGGTCTGGCCAGCCACAGCGGAAGGAGGAGCAGGAGGCCGCCGCTCACTTTAAGTGACGGGAAGCTGGGGAAGAGAAGCCAGTGAGGCGGAGATGCTACCAACAGAATCACTGCTACGGCGCCCCCAGCCCGGGTCTCTGAGGGGTCTGCTTGACAGTGACCTTCGTCAGATCGTAATTGATTTCCCCCACCATGGAGAGTCACTCGGTCCTTCCATAGCCAGCTAAATGCTCTTGGTGAACACTCGCACGGCTTCCTGTGTCTGTCATGAAGGACTTCGGATGCCTTCGGCATAGACACATGTTCAGGACTGGGCTGTTAACTCAGGGTAACTTCGAATATGACAGTAAACTGGCAAAGGCTGCCAATCACGCACTCTGGTGCAGAAGCCGGTGGTAGGAAGAGTGCGACTCTGAAGAACACGGAGGCGCCAGGAGCTCTTACTGGGAAGGCGCGCCGTCCGGTCCTTGTAGAAAGCGCGGAGTGAACCGGGCTGTGTGTGTCGCAGAGTGAGATCTCCGGCCAGAAGTTTCCAAAAGAAACACCAGGCAGTTTCCATGGGAAGCTGGACCTTCAGTGGAGCGGAGGGCAGGGCTGGCCTTGGGCTCCCCCCACTCCGCAGGAAGCCACGGCGCTATGGGACCTTACCTTTAGGGTTCACCCAAAATGCCTTTTCGGTGCGTGAACAGGAAGTGGGTATTCTCCCTTCTGCAGGAGAAAGCGTCCCTGGGTGATAGGCCAACCGCTGCGGGTTCGGGACCCCCCATTAAGAAGTGTTGAAACACTGATTTAATTTTTGCTAGGACCTCGCTTTCCTCCAGAGTTTCCCCCAGCTTCTCTGGTCTCTCCCAGGAGCTCAGCTACCGTCCCTACACAGACACCAAACACGCGTGTCTGCAGCTGGCAGACAAAGCGGAAAGGCAGCCCCTGTGCCCGGGAAGTTTCTCAGTAGCAGAGCTGACCTGACCGCGGTGCGCGGTGGATTCCTACAGATGGGGAGGGGCTCACCTTCCTCCAGCTCCTTCTCCACGCGTTGCACTGCCTCCCGTCATCGTCCAGAGAGATGACTGGCTATAATGGACGTCAGTTTTTATGGATTTCCTGCATTAAGCGTAATACTAAGTGGCTTTTACTTTAAAAGTAGTCAATTAGCCCTGGCTTGCTGGATGCTAACGTGAGGTCGTATCACCGCCTGTTGCTAGAGGGGACTGAGAAGCAGCTCAGTGTCCAGAGCGTGGCCTTCGGGAGCTGCAGGCCTTGCGAGCCAACGTCTCCACAGAGAGCAGAGCCACAGCCAGGTTGCAGACGGGCCCTCCGGCCCTCCTGTGAGCCACCCTCCAGGAAATTACTGCCAGAAAGTGCGAGGAAGGTGCCATGGAGAAAGTACGCACATCGAAGGAGTGGGAGTTATTACAGGGCTGCCGGGAATATAGCACACATCATTGAGTCCACGGAGAAGATTTGAAACCTGTGTTGAATAAATCAAATTCCTTACAGAAAAAAAAAATGTTAATTAACTGGAAGGGAAAAGAATTAAAACCAGAAAAAATATCAGCAATCTAAAGAAGACAAAGTGATGAGTGAAAAGTTTCTTAAGAGCCATCAAGCGCTTTAATGGGGAGGCTAGGATCGCAGACAGATCTTGTCTATCTGTAATGAACCTTCCCTGGGTTGTGGCTCTTTGAAGCCTTGCCCGGAGGAGGAGGACTGAGACCCCCACTTGCTCTGCTCCTAGGTTTTCGAGACTGGGTGCCGAAGGAGCTGCAGAGGGTGGGCTGCGTGGAACTCCTCAACACTGTGCAGAGGCGGGTCCGGCCCAAGCTACACGTCTTTGGGGGGATTCACGAAGGTAAGGACAGGAGAAGGACACCGGCCCGCGATCCCCATGCATGGGAGACTTAGCTAGAGCAAGACAGGCTGGCCCTCTCGAGCTCAGACTTGGTAGCAGTGAAACAACCCTTTTATGAGGTGAGATCTTAGGAGAGCAGTCTGCAGCTTGAGCTGATGCTGTGTGGTGCTGTCTTGTAATCTGAATCCACAGTGGGAGTGGGAAGCACTCCTGGCCCACCTTCCCACAAACCCGGGGCTCCCGTAGTCTTGCTCTGGAACTGCAGGCTCTGCTGGAAAGTGGGTGTCCGTTGTTGGTACAGGTCGACACTGAGTTGCATAAGGACAGGTGTTCTCTTTGAAAGAGTTGAAAGAAATACCTCAGATATCAGGAGCTATTTAAATTTTCCCCAGTCCCTTCCTGCCTATAAACACAGCATATGGAGCACACAAAGACCCAGGAAGACAAAATGTTCTCCAAGAAGTACCTCTGGACCTGCCTGCAATCCCAGATGTGTAGCAGATTAGCAGATGCAGGGCATTGACAGGTAGAGATTTCCTTACAAATTCAGAAAGCCATGGCAGACTTCTCAGCACAAGTACACCCAAGGTGAAACAGAACAATTAAATCTCCTTTCAATGAGAACTTCTTCAGTTACTGTTCTCGGCCATTCGACTGAGTCAAAGCCCCAGGAAGCTTCAGAGCTGTGCGTTTTGTCTGTGCTGCTTCAAACCAGAAGCATCAGGGCTTCTGTGCAGACAGACACAGAGCACCCGTTCAGCAAGCCTTGTGTTAGCTAAACCCTCTGTGGGCAGTGGGTGCCTGTGCTTCCCCCTCCCCACTGCACCTGCTTGCAGCTGCTTCTGGGCTGGCTGTGAACCTGCAGTCAGGTTGAGGTGTGTACAGCTATGTGCACAATGACGCCAAAGCACAGTTTGCTTTTCAGAGCCCCTGAATCCAGTGAGTGGCTTTCTGGGCAGATGGGTAATAAAGGAGCATGTTGAAAATCTACCCACTGAGGCCAGAGGACAGTCCGCTCCTCCAAGTACGGCTGGCCGCAGTGGCAGGGGAGCAGTGCCCTGTCCTGGCCCAGCCGTGTGCCTGGGAAGGAGGGTCTTCTCTGTGGCCTGGCACAGGGTGGTAAGCTGTGGGGGCTGGGCTGCAGGCGTGGGACCTCATATCTAGACAGGACTTCTGGGGGCCATCATCCTGAAAAGTGGCTGGAATTCCTGCAGCTCTCCTCAGAGTTGGCATTTCACCTTTAACAAAATTAAATCATTAATTAGCTTCCAACTAGCCAGACGATTGGGGAATTCCACTGAAGCGCCAAAATAATAAACGTGCTTGAAAGGGAGGAGATGGTATTCAAATAAACTTGTCTTGCTTTTATTCACTTAAGACAGCTAAAGAGGGCAACAAGAGGGCAAATACCAGCCTTTTGATGGAGAGAGATAACAAGACTTTATGACCCTGGAACTAAACAGTGCACATTTTAAATGCCTCTTTTCATTTCTTAAGAGATTTTTCCATTGACCCTCATTAAGCTCTCCACAGGCTTACTTGGGGAAATTTTAGCACATGGAAAAAAGAAACCTCATCAGTGATTTCTATAATCCTGGCAATTTTATTTCTCTGTGGCTGTATTTTTCCGTGGCTTGATGACAGTGGAGACTTACGAACTGAGACCCAAAGGGCGAATGGTAAAGACAGGTGTCCAGGGGAACGTGCTCATTTCCCAGAACCTTAAGCACGGGAGCACATTAACAATTGCAAAAGGAGCACAGAGGTCCGGGGGAACTTCCTCCACTTCCTCCCAGTGGGCCACAGCCTGTCCACACTGCCGTGGGGGAGTCTGCATGACCAGTACCCAGGCAGCTCAGGAGGCTGCGCTCTGCTCTGCTGGTCCTGCGTGACATGCACACAGTCTGGGGTCTGTGCTTGTGCATAAAATGCAGCTCAGTGTGAAAGCCCGACGGTTCAGGCTCTGATCACGCCCATTTCACTCTTCTGAGGATTTGGAGCCGACTCCTGGGACAGGAGGCCAAACTTCTACCCTTTCCCAACTCCCACTCCATGCCACCGCATTTTCCTTCTCCCTGCCCAGCACACACCTCTTGTGTCTGTCCCTGAGCAGTTGCTCCTCTGGTCCCTAGGACTCAACAGTTACTACAGGGCTTTGAGATAAAAATGCATCTGAAAGAGGAGAGGGGAAAATGTTTCTTTACTCTCCCCTTAAAGAAATCCCAGCCTTGCCCTGATGAGTCTAGGTTTAAATAAGAAAAGAGAATCCCTCTTTGTTGGAGTGGAGAATTCACCAGTTAAACAAGACAGCAAAGTTGTGTGAGAGTGGTCGTGTCTGGGTGGGCGGGCCCCCTGGGCTTCTCCCTCCCGTGCACTCCCGCTGTGCTGTGACGCTGTCTCCTCGCAGGTTACGGCATCATGACCGATGGCTACACAACGTACATCAACGCGTCCACGTGTACGGTCAGCTTCCAGCCGACCAATCCTCCGATCATCTTTGACCTTCCCAACCCCCAGGGCTCCTGAACCTCCGGCCGCCCAGGACGAATGTGCAGAAACCTCCACAGACTGCCATGTTTCTCCTTATAAACTCACATTCTCTTACTTGTTTATTTCCAAATCCTGTGATTTCTTTTTGTAAACTGTTGGAACGAACAAGATGCTAGAGGTTGTGCTTCTTTCCCTTTTTCTCTTTTTAATGGGACCTCCATTTGAAACCAGAGAAGCATTGTAAATTTGTAAAATGACTTCTGTTTTCTCAAAGGCCATGCCATTGTAAATTGTTAGTGTTCGCCAAAGGACAGCCAAGCTTTCTTTTAAAAAGGTGATGAAAGTCTTATTTTAATATGCTTTAAGCTGGAAGAAAAAGGAAAAAAAAGGAACAGGTAGGCAGTGTTTTTAAAATCACACAGATTTGCACAACTTTAGAGTATTGTTTGAAGTATTTTATTTTTTAACGTGTTGTTGCTGTTGTCACTGTTGTTCTCCTGATAACGCTCCCTATGGCAGTTCCAGCCCTATTTAGAGCAACCTTCGCAGCGGAGTAGGCGGGAAGCCTTCCCACCCCGAAGCTCAGCTCGCGAAGGCTGTGGGGCCCAGGCCAAGGCGCCACCTTGTCGTCTGCAGGATGGTGAGGCTGCTGAGCTCTGGTTCGTGGTCATGCAAGGTCTCCGTGTCTGTTTGTTGCTTTTAAATTATTTTAGCTTTAAAAATATGGAAACAGAATCTGTCAAGAGCAAGGACTTCATGCAGTTGCTTTTTTAAATGAGCGTGCAGACTCCTGTTCGACATGGGTGTACATATATATATATAAGTATTTTTTGTGTATTATGACTAAGTTAGGAGTTTAATATTGCCAAGAGCAGTACAAGGGTGCTGTCTAGAAGCCCATCAGAGCCCCAAAGAACTGCTACGTCTCCTCCAAACTCAAGGTCTGAAAGAGCTTGAGTTAAATCTAGGTACAGTGACAAGCGTGTACAGATGTAAACGGATGTGAAGGAAGCCAGTGGATAAGGCTTAGTTGTCCTTTCTATTTAAATGCCCCGATCGTCTTCTTGCTTCCCCGTCCCCTCCCATTTTGCACTGTGTGTCGATGCAATCTTCACTAGCACAAATTATTGTCACTGATAGTCATTTCTGTTCTCCCATTGTAAATGCTGTTTGGGCTTTATTCTATTTTATGTTATCTCGACATCTAGGAAAGCAGTTGTTTCTTTAAATTTATTGTGATATTCTATATCTAGCAGCCTTTATATGCAAATAAAATTGCAAGATTTTTAAATCCGTGCTGTTTGGAAGGCTGGCTGGCTGCAGGATGCTGCTCTGCCCTGGGGAAGGGAGGGGATCTGTTCCTGGGAGACACTGCTAGTCCCTTCCAAGGAATCATAGTGAGTCACGTTTTTAGAAAATTCCAGTAAACGTTTTTACCCAGCATTCGCCGGCCAGGCTGGCAGGAGGATGGCTCGGGCGCTCCACGTGTCCTCCCTTCCTTCTCTCTGTCCCCGTAGTGCCTTAGATTTCAGAGGCCGCAGACTCCCTCTGGGCCACCGTAATGCCTGGAACATAGCTCAGGCTGCGTGCAGGACAGGGAACCCTGACCCTGGATTAGTCACCGCCCATTCTCATGGCCTGCACCTCCTCCCAGCACGACAGCCAGTGAGGTTCCCATCAGTCTCCATCCCTGTTTTCTGGGGGGATATTTTTGTTTTGTTTTTTAATGATGGCTACCAGTAAAGTGGAAGGGGGAACCTGTGTGCCTTTGTTGTTCGCCGGAGAACCACTGTGGTCCTGAGTCTGCACGGTAGGCCCATGTGGCTCCATGCTGGTGCCCTGTCCTCCTTCCTGCCTGTTGGGAATGCCTGGGTGCGGTCCCTTTGGGGCCAGCAGCATGTTCTAGGCCAGAATTCCAGCTCGCATTTATAGAGCAGCCTCCCGATCTGTCATGGATGTTAGCAGCATGAGTCTCGGGCACCACCCAGCCTGGAGTGGGCACTCGGGTCTGACACACTTGGGCTGAGGACAGAGAGGCCGTGACTGGGGGAGCTCAGCCCTGGAGGGAGGAGGGAGTTGCTTCAGGCCCCGTCCTGGGCATTGCAAGGAGCGTCACCCTCAGCAGGCTGTCGCACCAGGAGCCTCAGACCTCTGGAAAAGCAAGATTTCCCGGAATAGGTGGGTGGTCACACTGACAAGTGTGTGTGCACAGCCCTGGAGGGCTGCTCTGAACGCAATCTAATTGAGCTAAGCACTTTCTACAGTTGCTTGCCACTGCGGCGGGGCAGGGGGCGGCCAGGTCTGTAGAGCCTTGAGGGCAGACAGCTCAGGACAGAGATGCCTGCAGCCAGCCTGGCTGCCTTTCCATTCTCATAAACAGCCTCCGGGGGACCTGTAACAACCATCCAAAAGCCCAGCCCTTTCTCCATTGGGCCATACGGCAAGGCCATTCGAAAGAGCTCTTAGAAATCCAGCACTTTCTTTCCTTCCATCACCAGGCACTGTGCTGAGAAGGCTTCATTATTTGGTTTTTTAGTCATCACAAAATCTGGGCGGGGACACATCAGCCCCACTCTGTACATAGGGAAGTTAACCCCTAGCTCACACTCGGTTTCCTTGGGAACAAGGAAGGGTCAAAGTCACATCCAACAGCGTCCAGAGGCCACGCCCTTCTCATCACCAAGCCTCTGTACCGGGGACATTTACGCCTTCCCAGTGCTGGTAGACAAGGAGTGTGGCCCAGGATACATCCTGTCCCTCGGATGGAGCCTGGCACAGCGCCCCTTCACGGAGCTTTGCGACAACGCCCTGCCAGACCACACTGCCTCTCTGCCTGGTTGGCACAGTGCAGAGATCCTAGGCCCGGAGGACCCCTCTCTCTTGGTGCCACCCTGGACCGACCACAGGCACCGCGCCTGTGAGCTCACCTTCTCTGTGAGGGGCGGTGGATAAAGCTGTGTTCTGCGCGTGTGGTGATGATGCTGCGGCCAGCTCGCTGGTGGAGATCACGTCTGTGTTTAGCAAGCAGTGCTGTGGGCTCGCTCAGTGAGGTCACCTCCACTGTCCTGAGAGTCCCTGTGCAGGACTCCATGCCCTGACTCCTCCTCTGGGAGCGCCAGGGGGCTGTGGTGTGAGCGTGTGTTGTGCACGCCCTTGGGAACAGTTCACGGCCCCTTCAGGGGAACACAGAGAACCCAAGGGTGTTTAGATGGAGGAGCTGGGCTTCCTGGGCTGCAGATCACACTTGGCAGTCTCTAACGTCCGGGGAGGGGGGTCCTACTCTTTCAGTTGCCCAAGATGGTGCTGGTCTGAAGCCCCGAGGAGCGTCTCCACCCTCTGGAGGCCCCCTGTCCCTCTTCCCATCTCCCCTAGCTCTGCTCGTGCAGGTTCCCTGTATATTCGCTCATCATCTCCTTTTGGTCGCCCAAGAAGGCCTTGTGAGAGGTAGGTTACGGTTACGCAGCCGGGGCCCAGGGTTAAGCCTGCCTTCGCCTCTGTCCCAGGAATAAACACACACTGACCTGGGGCTCTGGGAAGGAGAAATGGACGCTGAGGCTTGGAGGTTGGTGGATTGCACAGAAAACACCTGCGGGGTCCCCAGAGAGTGGCTCCCCCTCGCAGGGAGCCGCGGTCCCACAGGGGCCTGTGCTGCCAGGTGCTATTTTTATTTCCCAGGTCCTGTCATGACTTAGCCCTGCTCTCCTGTCTTGTTTCACTATGAAGCAGAAGCCGTACGAATCTGGCCAGGCATTGGGGTGGGAAGGGAGGAGAACTAGGAGGGCCGGGAGGGGGAATGGTGACTGCTCTGTGGCTTCACGCGCGGCTCCAGGCCTCCAGGAGCCGGGCTCCCTCCCACACTCATGCGGTTGAGTGGCAGGACAGCTGAGCCCAGTCAGCTCTCCCTTCTTCCGGAAGTTTAGAAGTACTTTCCCCTCTCTTCTCTGAGTATTCACCTCACCATTCCTTGCTGTATCCTGCTTTTTCATGAAATAGAAAAATACACTGGCCCCAAAGACCCCGAGAAGCCTCACTCTTCGCTGTGCCCTTAGCCAGCTGCTGAGAGGCCCAGAGAGGGTCTGTGCACCACGGAGGTCACACAGCAAATGCAAGAGCTCCGCATTGGCATCTGGATACTTCCGCTCTCCAAATGGACACATTTCTGCTGGACATCCAGCCCCCCGTGGTGGGGGGGTCAGTCCTGGCAGGCAGAAAGGGATTCTGCAGTGGAGAACAAGCCGCCAGCATGGGAGGAAGAGAGCAGGTGACCTGAAAACCATCTCAGAGCTGGAGCGCCCCCTCCCCTTGCTGCTGCTGTAGGAGTGGCCTCTCTCCTCCAGCCGGCCGCCTGCAGCTTCCTCCTGCTGTGAGGAGATGCGCACCATACCCTTGCCCGCCAGCTCTTTGCTGTGCCCTTCACATCCGGTGGGTGTCAGGCCTGGAAGACCTGGGCTGTCAGAAACATCCCCAGCCTTGCAGTGGGCTGAGCTGCTCAGACGGCTGCTGTACTGCTCTGGTTCCGCCCTGCACACTGGGGCAACTCCTGTCTCACAACGGGTTGGTCAGTGTTGAGGCCTTTCACGCTGTCAGGTCTGCGGGAGGATTTCACTACTCTGTCAGCCCTGGAGCTGGACAGAAACGGAGCTCTGTAGACTCCTGGCTGTCATTAAACTGCCTGACAACATTCTCAGAGGGTTCGCCTCTCTCCTCCTTGTTTGCTTCCTGAATTAGGGATGCTTTACAAGACAAAACTTTGGAGGTAAAAAGGCTTGTTCCTGCCCGAGGGGATCTGTGTCTGGGTGGTGGGAGGGAGAGAGGGCCTCCATTAGGAATCGCGCACTGGCACTAAAAGCACCAGCAGACTAAACACAGCCTGCAGAAAGCTCCTGCATCCATCAGCTCCGCTCTGGCGAAGCCGAAGCCGGGTCACCAGGCGGTGCATCTGCACACGCTCAGAGGCTGCTTACCTCGGGAAAGGGCCTGTGGTTTCCTGCCCATTTCTGCCTTGACCTAATGAATGACCTTGGAGATCCGATGAGCTTTTCACTAGAAGCTCCCGAAATAGCAGATGACTTGGATTCCCAACGCTGCTTCTGTGCTTGGGCTCGGGCCTCGTGCTCGGAGACGGCTCTCTCGTTCTCACAGGAGCTCGTGTCCCAGAAGCCTCCCCAAACGGGTCCCCAGCACCACCAGAACCCTCTCCCTTGGCGTTGCCAAAGCTGCCCACACAGCCTTCCTGGTTGCCAGTCTGCCCTGAGCTCTGCAACCAGACACTGTGTCTTCTGTCTACATCCACAGTGTCCATGTCTGATGAAATGATTTCTGAACAAACGAATCAATGTCTGGGAAAAAAAAAAAAAAAAACAGCAGCTGGGTACATAGGAAAAATGGGCAAAACTCCACTACACAATGGAACCAACAAAACATTCACCCAAAACCATAAGCCCAGTGCTGCGCCAATTGTAAGACCCAGTGTGTGCAGTGTAAGGGTTTTGTGCCTTGATGGAGAGAGCAAGAGACTGACAGGAAGGGAAGTAGCAATAGGAAATTTCAACAACAGCTCAAGACAGCCGTAAAGGAAAGTGGGGTTCTGGGAATCACGGTTGCCCTGGTCACAGAAGTGAGTGCCACAGTTATGGAGGAGCTCAAGGTGGGCCTGACCGTCAGACACAGAGCTGGGTAAGAGTGTGGGGAGGTCCTCGAAAGCTCCATTCCAACAGGACAGAAGCCCGGGTGGCCCACGGCAGCTGCAAGTGTGTTGCGTAGCTGGTTTTTTCTCCTAATTTACTCCGTGGAGTGGTTTTCTCTATGGTAAGCTATTGACAGGACACACCCTCATGTCTCTGTGCATAGCCTGTGAGTGCTTTTGCAGGCATCCGTTGCAGACTTGATCACACATAAATGAGAGGAATGATTTATCCAAGGCCACCAGCAGCTCGTGATGTGGGATCTGAAACAGCTCTCTGGAAAGCACTGCCCCGCACACCCAAGGCTGCATGCTGCTCTCACCTGGCGCAGAGGGGTGACTGACCGGGGCTGCACTGGTCTCCCCCTGACGAGTGTTTCCTGGGGAGCTGGTCCGGGCACCATGGTGGTCTGCAGCTGCAGCTCCTCAATTTGAGAGCAGCACTTCCCTTGGCTGTGGTGATGAGAGTTGTATCATGGAGTGTGGAAATCACAGTCTCAGGCTCTGTTGCCGGAAGTGCACATTTGAACAAGCCGTGAGATTCAAGCACGTTTCCTTTTCTTGCTTCAAATTACCCTGCTTCCTTGACCTCCATCTCCCAAGCATCTAGCATCTGTCTCTCAGAATTTGGCATCATCGTCAGATCAAAATGGAACATAAGTAGGAACATCAAGGTATTCTCGCCTGGGGATGACTCTTTGAGAGGAGAAGGCAGATTGTGGCCTCTCTAGGAGGACCCGGTGCTGTCTTCAGTAGCAGAAGGGGCCACTGTGCTTAGATGTTCTTCCCCTTAGATGACAGTAAAAGGTTTGAATCATGGAGTGATGTGGAGATCCCCGGATGCTGAACACAAGCCCTTACCTTTGGTATTGATACATTGTGGCAAGATTTGAGGAACTATGTTTACCTCCCACATTCTTATCTCAAAAGGTTGAGAACTTGGAAGGTGTTATGGTTTAGTTCTGGATGTCCCTCAAAGCCTCCGGAGCTCACAGGTGGGGCTCTGAGAGGGGCCTGCATCAGGGGGTGTGCTGTTCAGCAGTGGATTCCTCCACTGAGTAGTTCTGAGCTAAGTGTGAGGTCGGGAGGCGGAGCCTTCGGGAGGTGGTCAGTGAGGGCGTGTCCAGAAGGGTCAGTCTCCCGCTTCCTCCCTGGATGGCTCTCTGCTTCCTGCTGCCCTGCTATGAGCTGTCTCTCCTCTCTGGTGCCTTTCTGCCAGGCCTTCCTGCCCTGGGGCCGGAAGACTAGACTGAAACCTCTACAAACCATGAGCCCAAATACGCTTTTCCTCCTTTAAATTGTGGCTGCTGAGTATTATGTCCCAGCAATGAGAAAGTAACAAAGACAGGTTTCTTCTGAAAACACTTGTGGAAATCAGCTGTGTAGTAACAAGAAAAATAATGATACCCATCACACAGTGTTTCCACTGCCTACCTCAGTAATACTTACTCTAATATACAAGAAACTAGCCATCTGCTTTGACTATATTTCTGAGTGCTGATGAGATTGAAATAAGGTATATAAGAGACAAGAACTGTTTTGTGTTGTTTTGTAAAGGGCTGAATAACCTAGATAAAAAATCCGGAGCTAATCCTCCACTCACTACCGGTGGGGAGAAATATGTTGTTTTCCACATCTTTTCTAAGAAGAATCACAAACTATGGCCGGAGACAGAAAAAGTATTAGTAAATTCCTTTAAGAATATTTGATGATAAATATGTTTTTTTGTAAAAAGCCATGTACATGAAGTGATTGGCCTGGAGCTCTTGCAGTTCAGAGGGAATGTCTGTAAGCCACCGTGCTGGCTACTGCTCAGCCTTGGAAACTAACACGTTAGCCCCTTTAAAGTGTTGGCAGGGTGTGTCTCCGAAACAGGTGAATGAGCACACCCTCTAGTCCTCCAATATCCGGGACTTTCCTGATTAATATTAACATCGTCGCATACACAGCACACATCAAGGACATCGAGAATAGCACACATCTTCCACAGGCCCGGTCCACGAGCACCCTAAAGGGTTAGAAAGCTGTATCCCATTTCCTCCTAAGAAGGCAGTCAACAAACTCTCCACAAATATACTGTGTCATTTGCTGTAACTACCATTAAAGACATAAGTATAAATTCAAGACTAATATTTCTTCCTTAGGGTTAGGGTTTCAAGTCAACCTTCTTTATAGTCAGGCCGGTAGCAAAACCTCTATGTGCGAGTGTGTGTGTGTGTGTGTGTGTGTGTGTGTGTGTGTGTGTGTACCTCTTAATTATAAACATCCGTTTAATAACAATATCAATATCCACTCACTTTTTCTGTCTGTTCTGCTTAAAAAGCAGTTTCCCTTTCTTAAATTAGTTTTATTGGTACATTTAAGGTATGCAATGTAATGGCATTCATCATTGGAAATTTGCACCTTTCCATAATCCATCTTGGTTCTTATTTTTCCCCACTCCCCTGCCCTCCCTTCACCCCCTCCACTCCTCCCTACCTACACAGACTTTCTTTCCATTTTTTTCTTTTTCTCACATTAATTCCATCCCCATCCTCCCCCCCCACTTCCTCTTAGCACATTTTCTTCCTTTTTCACATTGCCCATTATACCTTTTAGTCCTTATTTATGCTCTCAATTTCTCACAGTAGAGAAACTAAAAAAGCAGTTTCTTGAAGGTTATGGTTTCTGTCCATAGTTGATATCCACAACTTAGGCCCTTTAGCTTTTATTTCAGCCACTTTATGTATTTAGCTTCTCTATGAGCTTTTCTGTTCCCATAAAATGTCCCTAATTTTCGCTCATTGTCCATTTACATGTGAATAAATATGTTAAACTGTTCATAAAATAATAAAACAATTCTAATGATAAATGCAAATTTACTTTTACAAAGACAAGAAAGACTGCATCACAGTCTACCCTGGGTAAAGCAGCCAGCATTCCAGAGCCAGAGATTTGATAAAAGACCAATTAAAAGAATGGGAAGAAATGATTGCTGGAATAAAGAATTTAAGTTCCTTGCGATGGGAGTCTAATTTCTGGAGGAAAGAAAAAGCATATGATTTTCCTTACCTTTGTAATTCAGCAGCTCTTAGGCTAATAAATTAGAGTGAGCGGTTTGTCTGAGACATGGAGAAAATTGGATACAGTGTGAAGAATTAGCAGCGGTGGTAATGAGAAAATGGTAATTGTGTACGTCCTGGGCTTGGAGGTACTATGCAGGGTGATTAGGTCTTTATAAAGTTGTTTATTTTCCCCAAAAATAGTTGATTTTTAATGTTTCCATATCCTGACAAGGTCAAAGTGAACAATCTCTGCTTTGTCACACTGTGTTTTGGAGTAAGAGTGGGAGGGCGGATGAAATCTCTGCAGAGGAGTCGGAGCCGGAGTCCGTCATCCTTGTGCACATCACTGGCGGGAGGTCTATCACAAACAGCTCTTTCTAAGACATGTGGTGACAGTCCTCACCTTCACCACACAGGTCCCATGGCTCTCAAATTAAAACGCCATTTATAACTAACTGCAATGAACCTGGACCCACATGAAGAGAAGGGGAGCCCTTAGCCCTTCCTTGGCAAGTTAACTCTTTCCAATCTGTACACACCAATGCGTACTCTTTGGCTGATGTGCGTTTGCACATTTGTGCGTCCCTGGAATTCTCTCTGATATTACAGAAAGCTTAAAGCATCTCTCTTGTAGTTGGATGATATTTGATTACTGTTACATTTCCCTTGCCTTGAGATGGCTGCCACCTGGAAGAGCTGGACTAGCAGCCTCCAAAACACAGCTTCTCCCAGCACAGGACCGGCTTCTCTTCCCACCCTGCCTCTTCTCCCACCAAAAGAGTAACTTGATACTTGTTACCTCCTAACAGCTGGTGATGTCACAGCTCCCC